CACTGAAAACGCATGATATTGATCTGCTGAAAGAGGATTCGGCAAACAGGCCTAGGACCTCAGCAGAGTGGATGGAAATAGTGAGAGCTCTGTCAAAATGTCTGTGAACTAACTACTAATTCTGATTCCGGACGTGAAATGACATAACAAATTAATTTAGGTAGTTATTGTTGCCCAATGAGAGACGGATTGACATGGTTCTGGTTTCAGTTACGTTCCCGTTGTGGGCGCTTGTACTTAATCGTTTTTCTGACACCCGAGAACGTAACGCAAACGAAATTAGAACATCACGTTACGTTCCCGTTACGTACGCAAATCTTAAACTCTCTATTATAGGCACAATACGTGCTCCACAAGTCAGTGTGATTACTTCAGTGACAACAATTAAGCATTAAAAAAGTGATCATGCAACTAATTTTTGCAAAAAAAAAGTATAGGAAAAAATGGATGGTTGAAACTCAGAGTTACCTGTATTCATTTTACTCGTATTTTTATTATTATTATTTCCGTATTTACGTAACAAAACGTTAATTAAATGAATACGTCTCAAGCATTGTGTATAATTATGTAGATCTCAGTGATGATGACAGCGAAAAATCATTAACGCCGCTCATGTCTATGGTTGGCGGGTCATCCATGATTGTTATTTAATAGCAAATCGTTTCGATTCCCAGTCTCTCGGGGGCGGAGCTACGTCACAAGACGTTCCACGTTGCTACCGCGCGCACCACTGTACCATGCATTTCTATGGGCTCTGTGCGCGCTGCTGTGGAACGCCGGTCGAGCCGGTGAAAATTCGAGAAAACAACACAAACTCAACTTTGAAGTAATCCTGAACAACCAAATTTATATATGTTACACACGTTGGGCTAATCTTGTTACACTGTTCAGAGGAGTCTCAACAATCATTCCAAAGTACCGTTTTCTGTGAGTGTGGGCCTTTGTTTTCACCGTTAGGGTTGCCAGGCGGTGAAAATGCCCGGATGTCCGCCCCGAGGATTAATTAAACAATAATGTACGACCCGCCAACCCATAATGGGCGAAAGCTCACTTTGTGCGACATATATGTACGAGGCGTGAGTCGAGTACATATACGGAGCACAAAGTGTGCTTGAGTCCATTATAGGTTGTCGGGGAGTTCATTATTGTTTTTATTTTGTAGCGTTGTCATTACCAGTGGATTTGCTGTCTCTAAAAAAGCGGAAAAAATTGGAGAAAAATCTACAGTGAACGGAATAGTTTCAATGTCACTGGCCCGTAAATCTGAATAATTTAAAATGTCTTTCTGGAAATTGTTTCCACAATCTGATATGGCAAACTAAGAAAGAAACTAGTTTTAATCCATCAAATATTTATTGTATTTAACCCATTTACATTGCGAGTGAATGAGTGACTGATGTGTGGTGTGGAGTAGCATTACAGTGATCGCTCGAGCGAACGTCACGCCGTGACTGGTACGCCGTATCGGTATCCACCACGGCTTGCACTACACTACGCTAGATCGCCGCCGTGGTCCAGCTGGATCGACTGTGGGTAGGGATGAGTACCCGGGGTACATGTACCTAGTTGCTCCGTTACCCCATCCCACTAGTGTTTTCAAACAATCAAGGTAGATATTATTGGAAACTGTCCTTTCTGCGTAATAGTTATTTTAAATTCCACGGGAGGGCGACGAGTTGACGAATACTTTTAAGCCAAACGTAGCGTAGCGGGCGAACGAACATGACCGGAAAGCTAGTGGGTGTTAGCCATCCTTGAAGGAGAACCAACAGTGATTTTAATCACACTGTATAAAATAAACAGATACACACATGAGAACACGGATACTTTCATTTATTTATGCAAACTGTGCCCGTACTGTTACATTTACCGGAAGTCGACGCCGAGAAAATACAAGTCACGTCAGTCTTTCGTCGATCTCGTTCAGCAAATTTTGTAGTACAAACACAGAACAAATACATCTCTCTGTACTCGTAGACATACATTGTACCCCCATTTCGTTTGCATTTGCTTGGATAAATTATCCTCGGTTAACCTCACTTCATCAACACGACAGGACAAACTAATCAGGAGGCCACCAGGACAGCGGCATCAGTCGCGGAATCTAGAAGCGCGCGTACTAGATGGAACGTTTCGACCGACCGAACGCGCGTTAGCGTACAGTTCAGACGACGATGCCTTCAAAATATTGTCTGATTTCGATATTGAAATCCGCTGTTATTGGTTATGGACCATTTTATTTGATGTCGATTTTGGTATTAAATACTTGTTATCTAACAATTTCTCTTTTTCAATAGTTTCTTCTTTATTCGTTTTCAAAATCAAGATTGTAATCATATACAAGGGACAGGGCCTTGATGCTCAATAATGTAATACATTATCGCGAATAATCTGCTACAATGACGTCATAAAATCCACTGGTATTGATAATGCTATAATATAATTTACAGAATAATCCTTAAAAAAACATCTCGCAAAAAAATTCAGGCTCTAAAATTATGTATATTGCAATACAATTCAACCGACAACCATTTTGACGCCACAATATCTTGCTGGAGTCCGAGTTCTACGCGTGATTTTATTGCGTTCAAACTGCGCATACACACACGAGGTGGTTTCTCGAAATGCATACAAAAATCACTGAAAACATTTTGAGCAATTTTAAGCATTAGTACTAGAGTGAAATATAAACGTGTCTTTGCACTCTCCATGAATTTCGTAACTTGCTATGATCAGGGTAAAGAAAAAAACCTTTACTTTCAACAGTTTGCTGGAGTCTGATCAAAACCGTGTCTCAAAAACACCTTTACATCAGTATTTAGGTATATTTGTTCAGCTCGTGACGATAGAATCAGTCAATTTAGAACTATCATGTATGCTATCGAAAAGCATTTTAGCACAATTTTACTGAAAAGACGATATTGATTTATGCAAATGAGACGATTATAAGGTGGCTTAATGTAGTTGGTTATCGCAGAAAAATAGTATGCAATGCGTCATTCCGTTCAAGCAGTTTCTTTCCACAGAAGAACGGATTATGTGTACTTAAACGACTGCCCCCTCCCGGGCACTGGATAAATATTTTAATAATTGAGTGTATTCGCATCAAAATGTACGACATTTGCTGTCGCGTTGTGGGTCAAATTTACATGCTAAATGTCGTAAATATTTCCTCTTCCATGTGTCATAAATTGTTCATTTCATCGACCCAATTACTTAACTGACTCAATGACACTAATTTGTTCTCAGACTGTCTCTACATCAACAGCGTCGACACCAACTACTGCTGCACTGCAAGGAACTGGACCCGCAAACGTAAGTATTCACTCCCCCATACTCATCCGAGTCGCTAATACCAGCAATCCACGCCCTCTACAGGCGGGATCTACTGCAGGTATGACGCGGTAAACGCCGTCGTCGGCAACAACTGCATTAACTATTCCAATATTTACACTTATCGGTCATGGTAGTACTTATCACAAACTGTTTCCCTCATCACTAAACGGATTATTGTATGTGAATCTTCTAACGTTTTCCGTTGTAATTTGGTAATTTAGTTGGTCATGCTGAGGACATTGAATGTCTCTGTTGTCTCGTCTGACTTGTTATTGTATGTGCAAGTTGCAAGTGCTGACATATAGTTCATTTTTGCCACAGAAGCCATATTCATGTTTTGGGACTACATGACAGAGCTGTGCGGCCATCTCTCTATCAAATGATAGTTTAATGCGCTATCCTGGCGTCAACCTGCCGCGGTCGAACACAAGCACCTGCGAACCTTAACCAAGGTTCTCCTAAAGTCGCATTCGTTAGTGAATGAATCTCAGCCAGTGGAATATGCCTTCCCGTAGAGTCTGTAGCACACACACCCAGGGTAGGAGTCGACCAGTGAGGGATTAGTGTAATCATCGGACTCTGACCCATTTTCATACTGGATGCTGAACTTACATAACTCTCCACCACCTCGACAATACTAGTAAAATCGGTAAATATAATGACCATGAACGCAATAGTTATATCTGTGTTCGATAACAATATATTTATTATATTTACACAGGGTGCAATAGACAACGTTATCGTCAATGGTGGCGCCGTGAGTACCACTGAAGCTGATTTGGCTCTGCAAGCTATCTCGGACATCGCGGGTTCGGGAACGATGGGTCAGTCAGATGTTGAACGAATTTTTCAAGCAATGGTTTTCCTTTCTAGTCATTATACCGATAACGCTTTGGAAGCTGAAGTAAGCATGAATTGTGCTTTGTGTTCATATCCCAGTCGTTGATTTTGTTAGGATATTATCCTGTTTATCCCTACGCAGTTTATTGAAATTCAATATGGAAGCACGTGTTTACTGCCGTGTGTAGTATCTTTCCCCATCTTCAAATATAGCAGGTTTATAGCCATTTTGTTTACGGGTATACATTTTTTTCATGTGAAAATTTTACACTAGATGATTTAATTATTACCAGAATTAAAATTTTTCTTATGTTTCAAAATATGTCCAACTCCTCGGAATTCCGAAAACACAATCAGGCAATAAGTGTGCCATATGACATAACTATGCAGTGATGCAAAGAGCGACGATTGATTGTGTCGTCGTATTCCTTAATCTCTCGATAGAATCACACAGATCCGTACATTAAATAATAACATTTGGCACAATTGTTTTGTTTCAGAACTTTTTTGATGTAGCAAATGAATTGGTCAGCTCTTCAAACGTGCCGGCACTGGTACAAGCTATTGAAGTAAGTTGTCGCTTGAACTTATAGATATTTTTGTTCAACACTAATAATACTTTTTAAACGACTGCAAAGTTAGGTGTACAAGACGGCGGATATTGTTATGCTACTAAAGTAACATTGATTCAATGTTATGCGACTCTCGCAATCCATTTCAGGAGCAGCCAGAGTTAGCTGCTTTATTCCTCAATGGTATGGAGGATTATGCGGTATCAGTGTCGTCAACTTTTCTGCAATATACTTCTGAAGTGGCATTTGAGAAGACACATATAGGTTAGTTAAACACTTGTGCTTGTTGTATTTTAAGGTACGTGCCAGTAACGTGATCACCTTATTTTAAAACCGAACCATGTTGTCATCACAGATTTGTATTTCATATACGAACGTATTTGTACTACCATGTACTTTAGCAACATATACAAGTCTACTGAGCTTACCATATGCAGGTTTTAGTGCCAATGAGATTTCTGTTCAAGTACGTCATCAAATCACTATATTGGTTCATTCTAGTTCGAAGCTTGTCTTTTTGTAATAACTAAAATAAATACTCCTTCAAATGTATATCCATGAGGCCACAAATTTGTAAGTAAATCCCTAAAATAATCAAGTCACTTTATACAAATTGTGTGAACACAACCTGGAGAACGACAAAGTTTATATAACACAATCGAACCACGCGTACTATATCTGCACAGGGTTTGATGTGATGCTACATTTGGGTTATTTCCACTAATATGAGGCTTCTTTACGTAATTTCGACAGTGACGTCCGATTAATTTTTATTATACACGAGATCCATATTGTTGTATGGAGTGGCAGCTGCATTAATGCATGCACTTTAATTCGCAGGTTTTTATGCAAAAGTGGTGTCGAAAGAAGATGGAGCCGTATTCACATACGGAACGGAAGGAACTGTCACGCTGCCTGCGAGCGTATTAAACGAGGGTGACGGTGAGGCGCTTTTAAAATTTATACCATGTACATTATATAGTGCTACCTCACACCTCATCCCCACCCTCACACTCCACCCACAAATCTGTTCAGTTCGACTACTGGATAGTGACATCGTTTGTATTTTTTAACACATAACACACGCCAAATAATTGTTGCGCTGAATTGATTCCCGCTGTATGGTTTGATAATTTGAAATTCGCTGTGAGATCTTTTTACATACTTCCAGAAAATGTTTGTTTACACTTTCTATTCTCAGTTTACCGGTATATGTATTTCCATATGCAAAACTCGCCTACTTATAATAAATATCAATTCATGTTTCTAACTGTTTCATGTAAAAAATACGACAATTGCGACAATGAATTCTTATCTGTTCCGGCGAGAAAATATGTGGACATGCAAAATGTCGTTTCATGGCATCATGTCTTGCCACGTCATAACACCACGCGACCAATAACAGATTCGAAAATACTGGTTCATACTGGATCGTACTGGGTCAAATGAACGAGTATCCTATGAAAGGAATTGTACCCATACATTATGTCCACATAGATAGAACCAGTCTCAACCGGTATCTGTTTAATTTAAATATTCAAACCACAACAGACTGCTTGTAAACAACCCACTTAAAAATACTCTTTCAAACACAAGTCTTGTCACGTTTTCATTGCAGTGGACGTGACCGTCACCAGTTACGATACGATGACAACAATCTTGAACTTGGCAAGTGTTGAAGGTCATAATTATAAGTCATATGGTACGACTATTGTATCGATTAGTGCTGCGTACCACACCGACGGCAGTCCGATCCTGTTATCAGACGTCGCTGCCATGTCGTTCACACTGGAAGTACAAACGGTATGCCAGTAATATTTGTTTTTCACGTACATAACTATGGAGCACAGTCCCTCTATCCAGGGACTGTGTATGGAGTCTATCCACAGAGTTAAGTCATAAGACGGGTTTAATCACGCATTAGGAGTGATTACGTCATATATTGAGACAGGTTGCGTGATATGGATGCTATAGCGTTAGTTACATATATTCGATGTCTTGAGGTCTGCATTCTCGGTTATGACTCAGAGAAGTAGAACGTCGTCACCTGACATGTTTGCTCAAAGTACTGCATCGAATCCGTCATAATCCACCATGATCACAAAAAGTATTCCCAGAATATATACCCACTTGGCAGGTAACTGTTTAGTTCCACGGCATATGAAAAGTGCAGTCGTTTGGTTCGATTCCGAGAGTGTACGAACCGGGAACGAGCCTCCCAGCTGATGACGTAATCTAGTATCAAGTATCACGTAAACTACACTACAGTATGTATATAATTTAACGAGACATGGGGTTAGTTATGAAGTTTGATTTACATATCCGAGCGCTCTATTTCACTATAATTTATTCATTTCCCAGTATGACGTAGAGAAGGAAGAACCTGTATGTGTCTTCCGGAAAACAGAAGTCAGGTAAGTTTGAATAACGATAACAACAAGTGACGTAAAAATCCTCGGAAGAGGTATAAATATCGCGTCTATTGATCATTGATACATTATTCAAAAAGCGAATATGAACAACATTGAATATTCGTTATATCTTCGTGCAATATTGTATATAGTATGAACTATTGCCAAGTGAACTAGTGAATGTGTAATGGAATGCAAGTGCGTTTTCAATTTTTTGATACGTAATTCTGATTCGGGAGCATATGCATTTGTCTGGCACATTGTTGAAACAAATGAATACTATATATTTTGTGAACTAATCATATACCAGCATCTGCCGTTTAGTAGATATACGTGCAATTATATAGAACAAACAGACTAAACAATGTTTAGTGATACATTTCTTATAATCACAAAGAAACACGCATACACATACATATGTATGTATATATGCAGACATTGAAGGCATTCATACAGGAGATTACATATATACATTATGTATGAGAGAAAATGTATTCAAACATTATCGTGTTGTTATAATTGTAGCCCGGACGAAGAACCTGGCTGGTCTACTGAAGGCTGTTGGAAATCGATCGAGGCAACATCTAACGTAAAGATCACGTGTCTCTGCAATCACATGACTAGTTTTGCGGCATTAATGAGAATCACGGACATAGTGGTGAGAATACTGATAATACTCGTCATATATAGGTTTGAACAGTTACGTATTTCATTTGGGGGAAATATAAAATATGCAAGACACAACGACTGATTACAGATTACAGACGCCAACAATTGTTTGGATTTGTTTTTCACGCGCATTCCCACAAACAGTGAAATTATATCACCTAACCCTGGAATTTAGCAAAAATTAAAATCTGACATTGGAGGAAATAACAAGTTCATCAGTAGATATTCTTCATGTGTTATAAGAAACAAAAATACTACATTATAGTCGTAATTATCATTATCACATCGAACTCTGTGTTCACATATGTCTATAGAATATCCCCAGAGTGTAATTTTCATGAAGTTTGTAAGATTCGAATTACAGTGCTAATCACAATTAAAAGGATTCTTCATATTTGCACTCTACTGAATATTTTTACATCATGTTCAGATGACCAAACTGCGGGATCCCGCGTTATGCGTGGAAACGGACGTGAACATGTGACAAACAAATGTCCTATCATTGTATTTCAGATATCCGAGAAAGATGCGAAAATTATGACATACCTGACGTATGGGGGAGTTGGTCTCTCGATATTTGCTCTGTGTGCATCGCTGTTTCTCTTTGTCACATTAAAGTAAGTTGAACACACTCCTACGTAACATATATCAGATCATGATGCCAAAACGCATTATTGGCGCAGATACCCAAATGCAATATAAATATTCGCCAAGAGTTGCGTACCTGTGCGACAATCCCTTTTCTTGCTTTCAGGCTTGTTAATACAGCTAATTAATTATCATCGCAGCCTGTATTTCAAATGTATGAATTAAAGATGTTATTTTCGATCACGCAGATTTTAAATCATTCTAAAAGGTTAAATATATTTATATCAGATAAGTTAAAAAGGAGTCTCAAAATTACCATTATATTTTATACTCTATCAAACAAAAGATTGATATTTCAAGCAAATTCAACAACATTTTCAACACTGAACGAATAATGTATTATATACAGTGAACAGCGCTAGCCTTTCAAACTACCTTGGCCATTTACTGCATTATACTCCCACCAATAATATGGACGAAACGTGTACTTGTGTGCAAAATCCCGGGCATTCTGGAGTTAGAAGAAGAAATCATTCGAGGAGAATTCATGGATTAAAATAATACCCATGTATTTTCTTGTTTCAGACTTCACAGATCTCAGCGTGTCGTTATACATATGAATTTTGCGGTTGCTCTACTGATAGCACAGACGCTGTTTCTACTGAGTGGATTGGCTGAATTCAGTGAGGTAATTACAGACTTCTACAATAATTATAGTCGCTATGAACAAGTCTATATGTATTACGAATCAAATCTTCGGCTGAGTATTCACAACGCGTTTACTTTATCACCTCAACGCATCGAAGAGCAAATGGAACCAAGAAAGTTTTTTTTTCAATTTGTAAAGGAGATTTCTTTACCAAGTCATTTTCACTGGCATTTAATTTAACTATTTCGGTGGTTTGAGCCATTTTACTGGTTATCAGTTACACAAACTTGGCAGAAAAACAATTAGTTCTATTGTTATTTTACATGTTAACCTATATTTAATTTAGCATATTTTACCAATCAGCAAAAACCACTGAATAATTAGTGCGTTTACAAAGTATGATGTATCATTCATTAAAAGAAATGGGTTGTGAAACATATTTTACGTAATACTCCTAAGACTAACGTTACTGTTTCAGTGCTGGAATTAATTAATACTTTATTCTAAAAGTTCAAATAAAAGAGAATGCTAAATATGTCAGTTGGATATAATTTTGAAAGTGTCACAAAACCATCAGGTTGTCGTAAAACCTAGAAGTTCTCAGATTCCAAATGACGTATTTGAACAAGGCTTTGTTATTAAAACATCAGTGGTGTCGTTCAATGTTCTCCCTTTGCTGGCGTCGGGTGTGCGGTATAATCTAATTCATATTTACCATTCAAATCAGTATCTATACTGATCATCCACATTTGTTATTGTAACGGGATACGGTGCTAACTGGGTTGAACAAAATGGCTGATTTCTCGACGCGACGTACACGGACCAAAGTAACAAGTGACAATCGCAAGTGATCTACTTCAAGATTCACGACAACACAAAAATGGTGTTACACACAAAGCTGTGCTTAATCACAATATCACTATATTTACCACCAGGGTCTGTGCAAGTCTGTGGCCATAATGTTGCACTATTTCTTCTTGGCAATGTTCTGCTGGATGCTTGTGGAAGGCATCAACTTATATGTCAAATCATCCGGTGCCATTGGAAAGGGAGTGCAGACTAGGATATACATGGCTATTGGCTGGGGTGAGTTAAACCCAAAACATTATTAGTGTAATGGTGTTGGCACAAACTGATATACAGTGAAACTTATAAATAATTGAAAAACATGCGATGCCCCAATGAATTGAAAATGTATAAATTACTTAAATGCAATAACCAATGTCGCAATAATGATTCAACAACTCTGATTTTTCATTTCTCTAATTTGTCTTAGGAATCCCCTTTGTAATTGTTGGCGTATCTGTAGCGGTCCGATTCAATAATTACGGCGAGGGACCCATGTAAGTAAATATTCCATTTCATTACATTACATTTACCATTGGATTTATCTGCGTTCATCAATATTAGGAGAGACACTTACATAACAATGTAATACGACACAATACGACACGATACTATATACGATACAATGTAATGAACTTAATGCAGATGAACAATACAACGTCAAAGTACTGAAACTCGACAACACTCTTATATGCTTATATTACCAGAGATGCGAAATGTTGGCTGAGTACTGAAGATGGATTGATATGGGCGTTTGTGGCTCCAGTATTATTGGTACTTGTGGTACGTACACACAATTATTGATACGAATTTTAAATAAAACCCAATCATATATAATAGCACACCTTGTTAAGAATTACATTACTAACGTTCAACATTCACAAAATACTTAAATTAATATTTTTTTTATTCAGGCTAATTGTGTTGTATTTGCCATGGTCATACGCGCATTTATGTCTCTCAAGGCAAATGCTGACAAATCCAATGTAGAAAAAATAAGGTGAATATAACATTTTTCCTATATATAATGTATTGTGGGTAGGTGTTTATTTTCTATCAATTATCTACATTATCCTTGACTTCAGTTGGTGAATGTATGCCCGCTCTCTAGCTTTCCTGTAATCCTCTAAACACAATCCCTAAATATATATATATATATATATATATATATATATCTGTATTACACGTGCATATACTATTCGAATGTTCTTTTTCCCGATAATTTTCAGTACACGAGTTAGGTTATCTGACGAATATTATCATCCGCTATAGAGCTAAACGATTCAGTATTGTTTGTATATAAATGACTTGCGTGGAGGAGGATTTTTTTCAGTTCTGATTTACAGTTTATTGAATTTCACCATATACTACTTTCTCAACCCATGCCACGTACCTGATTTTTTTTTCTGTGATTTTGTAGGTCTGGTTTACGTGCCGCCCTCGTATTGCTGCCATTACTCGGTCTCACGTGGCTGATTGGAATAGTGCAGGAGCTGCAGTATTTATTCATTGTACTAAACTCGCTCCAGGTGTGATTCAGTTTTATTTTGTTGCATACTAAGACTCAATAATAACTATAGTCCCGACTTGGAAGTTTGTTTGCTTGTTGGGAAAAGCAGTCGAACACATTTTGTAACACAGAAAGTCGTAATATATCTTGGGTTCTTAGCATGCATCACACTTAGTAAACCAATATTATTGGCACATTTCTTTCAGTTTTTGACATCTGTTGCTTCAGAGTTTGTTGGAGTGAAATTAAGTTAATATACAAGTATATAGTGTGAAACAGTACTTTAGGCCGGTGGCCATATAGTGCGGAATAAAGAAAGAATAATAATAATAATAATAATAATACAAGTATATCAAGTATGTTTCACGTCTCACAGTGTGTCAAACATTGTATATTTAATATGTACAATCTTTTTTCCTTACAGGGTGTATTCTTCTTCGTCCTGCACTGTATTATGAATGACGAGGTGAGTGAACAGTGCTCTGTGGCACATTTCACTTCCCAATATTATAATGTAGTGTCACAATTTCCTTATCAAATGTTTAGCTGCAAGTCTCAATTAGATTTTGCTTATAGTATAGGGGGAGGTGCCTGTAAAAATGCCTGAATGAATTTAAAATTCGATTAATATATAAAGTAAAACATAGAAAGTGTGTAACTTAAAGTAGATATATTAAATTAATATAGATATTTAAATGCAAAATCCTATCTACCAATAGTAACCCCAATGAATACTTATAATTGTACATTACACTGTGGTGATATGAATAATTACAGTGAGATAATCAAATTAGGAGCAAATGTGTAATCTAAAAGAACTTCAATTAATACTGAGAAAGTTGTTGGCTAAATAAGGAATATAAAATTGTGAAATAACGTTTATCGAAAAAATAAAATTATACAATACCAATTACATATGTAAATTAAATATTTCACACAACTTGTATATGTCTTTTGTGTGATATGTTGCTATGTTTATTCAAGTGACCTTTAGGATTCTTTATTGACCAAGAAACTGAAAACGAATGGTGTTTGATATTGATGTTATCACGTTTCATTATTTAATGCATTCATAAGCGACACCCAAATAAACTAGAGTCTGTATTCATGTTTATACATACATTGAGGTTTACTTTTCATAACTTTGGTATTTATCTATGTTTGTATCTCAAGGTGAAAAAGGCATTTATAGCAAAACGAAAGCATGCATCGTCATCAGTGATGTCTTCGATTTCGAATACAGAGCACTCGTCAATGTACACCAAGACGACACATGCGACAAAAGAATGCAGGGAATCTAAGGGTACGTGAGTACTCGTCGTTCTCATGATTTTTTAAAATAATTTTACACGCTTTTTTAGTTCATACACAGCCATAACATGTCATAACATGTTGGCACTGTTACTACCGTTGATTATGTTTATGTCGCCGTCTAAAAACATGATGAATCCTTTGATTCTACTACAGTATATTGACACAACTGTCGAACATCTTCACATTGCGGTGGAAATGTATAGTGTACTTTGGACATACTGTTTTTATACGCCCTGTAGATATATCCACCCGTCGATATTAACGTAGTTGGTGTCAGTTTATTTCCATTGATTTATTTTTTAACATTCAGTTCGCCAATAGTTAACGTTTAGTTCTCACACTGTTTTTGTCATTTCAGAGCAATCAAAAAGTGCATGGAAGTAAACATGAAATTGGCGTGATCAAAGAAATGCAATGCCGATCTGATTCGATGCTCCTGGTACAAGATCACGCGGTTTTCACTCGACTTTTACATGAATTCTGGATATTATTTTCTGATATATACTACCATTCTACGAACAACATAAGTACTTGGTAATGAACGAAGATCAATATCAATAAGCTCACTCAGTACCGGATGTTGTATGCGATCGCAATCCATTGTGGGTAGCTGAGGAATACCGATTGGTACATTGAAGAACAATATTAAAAACTACGTCGTAATTTACCAGGAGTCATAGAGAAACTCAATATTTACCTACAAAGTCTGACCTGGCTTCAACACACGAAATAATTAAACTGAAAAGAGGCGTTCTTTTAAAACACAAGATGGTAGTTGTGGTATCGAAAGATTTTGTTATTTATAAAACTTTTTTTAAGATATATTAAAATGCATTTAACATTCACGATTTACCAGACAGGACTTTTAATATTTATAAGATTTCTGATAAACGACACATAACCCTGGACGATCTCTATTATTTACACGCACGTGGTTCAAATGTAGCGAAAACGACCGAGAAATATTTCTCGAAAATTGTACAGTAGTTTTGTTTAAAGAGCAAATGTATTAATACAATATGAATAATGATATAACAGATATGTACAGAATTCTTTTCCTTTTTATCGATATGAATTTTTTTTTATCTGATAATTGTTTTAATTCAATATAATGTATTCATACTCTGGTGTGTTGCATAACCTCTGTTATATGATGTACATATGCGAATTTAGTATAATTTAAATCTGATTCAATATGGAAGTATACTAATTTATATGCGTCTGTAACTTGGTTAATACTGCACTATGATAGTAACTAACGACTGTTCTAAATCTGACAAGGTTACTTCACCAGAATCACGTGGATGCAGTGCACCTTACCCAACAGCAGCACTCTCTACGGATAACGCGTTATGTGAATTATATGGATGAAGTAAATATCACTCAAAACTTGCTTGGGCGTGTTGTCATCGGGTGGTGCAAATAACACAGAAACATTCTTCAGATCAAAGCAACGTTAACGTTGTTGTTCGGCTTCCCATTCATTCAGACAACAGCGCCTTGTCACCAGAAAGGGCGACTTATTTTAAGCATTTTTAGTTTGTTCAGTTTACGATTATTATTCCTGATCTTACACATTTTACTACGTTTTAGAGTGTTCTACGTGATATAAATTGTAAGCACACTTTAGCAGTAAACCCCGAGCATTTGTTTAATTTTCAATTATTTGACCAGTGAAGAGTCACAAGTCATAACATGCAACTTTCAGGTTTTCGTATCACATACCTACCGAATTACTTTGTAACACTTTTATCACAGACTGTACAATGCAGTCAAGAGACGTATTTGGTATACATATAGTCCAGCCCCACCGTGTACATCGTACAAACTTTAACCAGTGTGGTATGAACAGGTACTCAGCACGGTCATTCAATCACATCATTCGACTTAACATATGAGCTAGTTACGTTCAAAATATACTTAGTAATAGCTTCAACCACTTAAAGAGAATGAGAAATTTATATCTCAATATATCACTTTTTGTTGGTATGACACAATATAATTTAAGTAGGATTTATAACAGAATGTTTAGTTAAACCTGTGTTCGTGACCTCCTTTTATAGTCTACCTTTCCCCTAGTAACCGCCTTCAGGCTTCCCCAGTTTTATTTGCATGTAAAGTAAGCTGTGTATAAAGACCACCTGTCCAACGTGACCAGTCATCGCCCTTTTGGCATCAGTTAATCAAGACGTAAAGTTTCCATTCGCCTCTTCAAATATGTTGACAAATTGATATTTAACCGACAAACTATTGTCACATTTGTATTTACGAAATACAAATTCAAGCATCATATACAGACCGCCTGTCTAAAATTGGGTGGTCGTAATACACAGCCTCGACTGTACTTTGTAACCATTTTCACACGTTTGTTTGCCCAATTGAATATGACCCCGGGTAATGTACACACATGTGCATGCAATAATCACGTGGTTTAGACCATTTTATTTTTATGTTGAGAATATTAAGGTATATGGATTTAAGTGTTTTACAGTTTAATGTTATATGAACAAAGCATGTTTCTTGTGCATTCATAAAGAACTGCAACCCATTGTTATTGTATTGTATGATATAATAAAGCCCTTTGGCACATTATCCGTCCACAATAAAAGTGATACTCTTGATGTAATATTATATTTGTGTAATTTTCATTTATGTGGAAATTAATTGACTATAGAAGTGTATGGAATACTGCTACAGACATGCAATTGTATCTTCTAAGATACATAAGAGAACAAATATACAAAACTATTCGCATTTGAAAAACTATATAAGCACGTTAATACAATGTAGTACATATAGAGCTCAGAATAATTGAATCATCCAGTTCTCAACTTTTTTGAAAAAAAGATAAAAAAAACACTAAAACTCTGCTTTGTCTAAACCTTTTACACGTTGCATGGGTCCCATACCATCAAGATACATCCCTGTGGTTTGTGAGCAATTATTGTGTCTCTTAAATTAAATATAATTATGTAGCTTGCAAAGTGTGGAAAATACACGAAAGTTTGAACAGACATCGCGTTTTGCACAAATGAGTATATGTACACAGCAATTAGAATAGGTATCATTGAATGGGAAAGCTTTACATACTTTCAGTTTTTGAAATATTTAACCAAATTGACAAAATATATTGTAAAGCATCAGTATCTTTGGATAAATCGCCTCTTGTTATATGAACTTTCTTTATATTGTCCACAAGTATTTACAATTCGGAAGACTAAATTATACACGCATAAAAATGTACATTCCTTAAAAAAACCTATTTAAAACACAAATATAAAACATGTATATATATTGGTTTACTGAGCACGCTTGTTACAGAGAAGGGGGTAGATTTTATACAAGTAGTCATTCGTGAGCTACTTGGCCTCAGTTTTTGTCTAATTTGTTGTTGGTAGACTATCAGATATAAATTACACATCATCCAACTTCATGGTATGTGCGTGAATTGCACGAAAGTCAAAGACGATCAACATCAATTCCCCCCCCCTTCACATGCATGGGAGTTAAGCAACCAAGGAATCCACAACTCAGCTACTGACTAACAAACTTATTAAGTCTTGTGAAAATGGCCAATACAACCCACTCTTATTACAAAGCCGTACAGAGGTTTGCAGGGTCATAAATGTCTGCATGAGCATGATTTTTTTTGTTGGTTCATACACGCACACAACATGCAGAGAAGTGTTATGCAAACATGACACTAATGATATGCACCTAGTAAATTTCAATATGATAGGGATGACGGATTAATATGCACGCTACATTACTTTACATTCAACAACTAAACATACATTGCAATGTATTAGTGGAATGTTCGTTTCAACCGCCTACATTGAGCATGTAGCATAACAGTGAAAAAAGAATCTTCAAGAGGACGATGGTCGTCACGCATCACATATTCAAATGTTATGTCAACAATGTATTTTACACATGTTGTATTGGCCGCAATGTGTCGCACTGTGACCACTGCCCTTTAAAGTTTTAATTCCAATGCAATACGAAAGTACATGTTCAAATGGTTCAAAGTTACTTTAAACTGCTATTATATGGCTACGTAATGAACCTAGGACAAGGGTGATTGTAATGAACAATGAACACACCTGGCGCATAATACTGAAAGCATGTATAGCTAACAAGAAAAGCCAACGGTTTTTCTGCAATTTACAATTATAAATATCATAACACTGATTATATGCTAAATTTATTATGTTTATGTGTCGAGATTTCCTTGAAAACCCAGTCATATTTTAAGGCAGAGAAGAAAAGCCTCCTGAAAATAATAAACTCTTGTCAATCACTGTTAGGTAACAGTGATGTAAGTACTTTCTTATATAAGCAGGCTTTCATATATGATAAATGACCAGATATTATTTGGAATCAACTGTTGTATGGTTTAGTGAGCTGGCTTTAATATAAACCAACATTCTGGCAATGTTTGAAAACAAAACATTCACAGTTGTTACGACATTATACAATAACAAACACTATATACGCCAGACTCGATGTACAGCCACTTCACATAGTAGTGAGGACCATATATAATATGCCATTTCCACATAATAAATAATCACATTGTCAAAGTCATGCTAAGTCAATAATGGTGACAGATATGTAGTTTTAAAATAGTTCATTTCTTATATAAAATTGGCCACATATTATTTAAAAAGTTCAAAATATTAATGTAAATATAAAAGTGATTTTAAAAAATATTCAGTGCCTAACAAAAGACATACATGTTTTTTTGCGAGTACATGTATATGCTAATAGTACTTTCCAAACTTTGTTTGTAGAATGATAGCATTTGATTAAAGCTCATTAACAGAACTGGACTTCTTGATCTATAGCAGACCCTTGTCGATTAACAAGATACTTGGTCATGTCAACACCCAACTGTTCTAACTTGTTCAGTGTTTCAATTTGACGGGCATCATCGGCTGCTTTAATCTCTGTAGAATTGAAAAAAAAATGTTAAATTCGGCATTCCTTCCCCACTTCATTCGTAGTGTTTTGTTTAGTAAACAGGCTAATATAAAGGTTATTTATTATATTATTCTGTTGAAAAGGTGATGAATTTCATAAAATGACATCAAACTGTGATAAGTTATAATATTATTTGTATCTTTGTGGTAGTACTTTCATATGAACTATCAAGTAGTTTGAAAGACACACATGACAGTTCTCTGTGATCTGACATGATGTGATCAGAGTTCACATTCTGGCCAATGCCATCTTTTTTTTGGATCAAAATAACAATGTTTCGTTCATTGAGCCTGGGTACGAAACTGCTAATAAAAAATCACTTGTGAATCACTTGTGTTCCAGGCTCACATGTCAATAACCGTTCGGCTGATCTGTTAACTGACAACTGTTTTGAATAACTAAACAGCACCTAAAATCAATCAATGATTAATACCAATGAGGCAATGCTTAAAAATCACCAGGTTTTTATTAAAACGAATGTAAGAAAGCTCCTGGGGCCAATATATATTAATAACAGAAAATGGTAGTAGATAATCTTAATCTATGCTGATTATTCAATATTAGCACATGTTTCGATCAATTGTCCTTCTTCAGTGTTAAATCTGAATAACATGATATCTCACTTTATTCAAATATTACACTAAGTAAGGGTCAAAATGTCTGGTGAAAGTGAATAAATACCAAGGATTATAATTACCTACACAATACCATTTTCTATATACCATGTTTTTATGCAAATTGAATGATTTGTACACAGAGTAGTTCAGTGATCATATATTTGTTTTTTTATCTTGATTATGTGAACACAGTATGAAATAGAACAACATTGTCAAATTTTATGATCTGCTTCAATGGCAGCTAACAACCTGGAACACATTGTGAACCTGAATGTTAAAATGTATTTTTTTTTAAATATGGTCTTTTATTGAGTTAACATACCCTGCAGCATTTTACTCTCCATCTCATCAAGCTTTGTATTCTCGATATGTCTTTTCTCAGCAAGCTGTAGGTTGCACTCTTGTTTCATGTCTTCAAGTTTTTGTTTGTGTTCATGAATCCGGTTCTCCATCTCTTGTTCTATTTGCCAAAAAAAAAATATTTATAAAAGTCATAACTGTGAAATCCGGCAGGTAAACGTAATTTATATAAAATAATGAAAATGGTGTGCAAATCAGGCTAACCCTCGTAAGTAGCTTTGCACTGATTCCAAGATTGCCATGCTTGAATTTTCAGGAAAACAAATAACTGATGACATTATTACTGCTTGCGTTTGATTGAATTAACAGTTGAAGACAACAAATTATGTATAGTCCAGGGTTTGCGCTAGTATCTCAGCAAGACGAGTCCCACTCACATTTCAGGAAATTTGACCTGGATAACTTTATTAGAGATTGGTCCCCAGCTTGCCTGAAAAACTGGGTCACTCTTCAATAATTGGAGTCTGGGAAGCAAAATATGCATGGGGTTAACTCAATCCCTGTATAATATTATTTGTAAGAAATTTGAACAAAATTCGGTCAAGGAATGTCTGAAAAGTGATTTAAAATGTGTGACAATATTTTGAATCATATTTCAAATATTTCTAAAAGTCATAAGTGTTAAAGCATTAGTAACCCATCATATATGACGTTTATACAAAATTTGAATAAAATTAGTATATTTTTGTGAACACTTTTGTTTTTCATTGTAGAAGTGTTGTGGAATTCCAATGTAAAACATAATTTTTCCCAAGACATGTAATATCCCAAAATCTTTACACATGGCAAGAGAAATTATCACTCTAATGGCTTTTTAAGCATATGCCTTAAAAATCAAGATTTCACTGGATGTTGTCATTCAAATACTTTATACGCAATTTGACCTCTGACCCATGCAAGTATTATTGTACTAATTTTAAACCTCTTTTTAATGTCACATAACCAGTCAGTCGCAGTCGCACCATCATAGTAAAAGTTAACTTTATTTGATGCACTTTGCATATCATAGTTTAAAGGGTGAAGTTGATCATGCCGTGTCCCATAGCGACGTATACATTGTTTACATGAAACTCGAACATGCACTGTGTGATGACCACCGCCACCAGACCACCGAAAACAAGAATTAGATCTAATTATATAATTTTACACTTACGTTCTTTGCTTCTTGCTTGTTCTTTCCTTATTTTGTAATCAGCTATCTTCTGTTCACCTTCTTGGATTTCAGTGTTCAGTTTCAACTCAGTGCGACTCTTTATCGCATTGTCTTGCATCAACTATAATAGAACATTGTGCAAGGATTATACAAAAACCTACAAGCAATTAGTCAGTCTAATAGACCCTATTCCTTGATGACTGTTGGAGATCTCGCAAAGAGCCACAAGACTTGTTTTTTGTGCTAAAATATAATGTTCTGTTCTCTCCTGCCATCACATTCATTGTTCCCCTGGCCATGAAATACCTGGTGTATGCTATAGTGATTGCAATAGAGAATGGAACACTATTTGAAGGCAAAAAACATGCCTTGTGATTCTTTCGTTCTTAATGAAGGTCTCCTGCAAAATACACAATATTTTCAAAATACATTCTTTATTTACATGACATTATATGCTGCGCAATGACTGTGAACTATCCCTGGTTAAGCATAGAGCGGAAGTCAACTCATAAATGTACCCCAACCAAGCCTATTTATCTGGCCACGTTCAAGTTGTTAAGATAATAGGAGGGATCAGACATGATTCATAGGATAAGGGTATGCAAATTTCATGACATGTGATAAAATTGATTTAGTAGGCATCAATCAAATGTAGTTCTAGACAACATAGTCACAGAACACAGCTGGTGCTTGGATTGTGTAAACATGCATGAACAAGACTATCCCTGTATTCAAACACATAGAACACATGTATTACACTGCTTTGCGAATACGCAATGACACTACATATATGTAAATCGTATAAACACAAACCAGTTCATTTATTTCTAGAAATAGAGGCTTCTCTTTTGCAATTATGATCACATATATATACTGTAAAATACTTTATTTTCACTTGGAATTTATTTTTCACTATTTTCGCTGAAGGGATAATCAAGTGAAAATAAAATCAATCGAATATACATTTTTTCCTATATTTCATCAAATATCAGTGAAAATAAATTCAATGCAAAACACCTAAAAGTTTTTTAAGCAAAAATTAATTCCAGCTAAAATAAAGTATTTTACAGTAATTAATTTTTCAATGCATATCACACCTTTGCATACCCTAAAGTTGGTAACACTCAAGATCGCGGTTTATTTTGAGAGCATATAAATTCCCGACCCTGAACTGTGCATTGCATAAAGTAATATTATTGATTTCCATCAATGCAAATTAAAATAGTTATTTGTTTATATTTCAAATGATTATTTGTAAATACATTTCAATTAAATAAAAATAAAAAAAATAATTAAATCCTGGAATTGTGTATGCAAATTATATGCAAATTAATATTTAAACTTATGCAAATTAGGCCACCAACCAACCATTTTTGGTTCGAGAGAACACCGACACCTAGATAAGATTGGAGGCAAATATGAATGACGGCGACATTTAAAATGTATAATATTCCAACTGCATCAAATTCTGCTAGGCAGTAACAAAAACTAGTTCACTAACTTTATTAAGCTACCAGGGTCTGTGAATACAGCATACCTGCAAGTGTTCTCCTGCATGGTAACCTCTGTAGACAACTTTACTGATCTCATAACCAATACGTGTAGATCTCTGCATTAACTGTGGGTAAGTATTCAGTGAATTTAGCTTGCCAGCTTGTTGCTGGAATTCTTCATAACTAATAAAAACAAAAACAATTACTGTTTATCTATATTGCAAGTATTTTATACAAATGGAGTAAAGTGAAACAAAAATTTAAATATTTGTCCTAGGAAAATTTGAAAAATGATGTGGCTATATTTTTTTGTAATATTTTTTCTTATTAGGATTAATCAATAAAACAAACATAAAACATTCATTAAATAATGCTTTTAAATAAATGCATTAACGCTTTATTTGGAGCAACAAAACATTCATTGAAATAGAGCCCCCTCTATTGGCAAAATATATAAAAGTTATTATTGACCATAGAGGGCAGTGTACATTACTCAGGTTGCTGGATATGGGAAAGCTGATGCTTGGCATAACAAACGCTTACCCCAGACCATTCGTCCCGGTGTTATCGCTATCGCCACACGAGACTCCAGCTTGTCTCCTATACAATTTGACTGCGCACATCCAGAAAGTAGATGTAGCTGTGATTGGAGGAATACTAATGAGTTGAGTGTCAAACAAAGTCACGTGACACGCGCCATTTTAGTTTTGATTAGTTCATCGGATCGGAGTGTCGGTGCTCACCATCCATAAATCAAATCAAAATGATTTCTAAGGAAATTGTCGCGTCAGCAGTGGACAGTGTCTTAAAACACATCGATGGCATCAACT